CCTCTCCAGCCTTCCTGGATACTGACCATCGGGTTGTAAAACGGGTGGCGCCTTTATAAAAGTTTTAAGTAATACCAACCCACTCCCATCTCTGCTGAGCTAGGGCCAACCCTATAGCTGGAGAAGAGAACTGATAGTTCTTTTAATTATTGTAAAACCACCCGACCCGTCTCAAGTTTGTATACTAGCCAAGTAAACACCTTAACCGTACACATATATATTTTTTAATAGCTATAATTCATTAATGATTAAAATATTGTTTTTGGAAAGAAGAAAACGCCAACATAGATATTGGGTTGGATCACTTAAATAAAAAACACAACACGACCGTTTCCACTAAACAGAGTTGAGTTTCAAAACACGTCGAAACCTTTTGATGTGACCGCTTTCGAGCGGGACCCGAAAAACAAAACTCCAACTGTCACAAAACACGCCAGTCTTCAAAAAGTTTGCGAAAAGTTACAGTTCTGTTTTATTCGACTCAAGTTTGTGTTATGTTTTTGTTTTGTCCGTTTAGTGGAAAACCGCCTTTAGAGTCGTATGATACCGATTTCAGAAAGTCTGCAATTTTCCTGTTGTGATCCAGTTAGACGTGTTTTCTCTGCAACAAGTGTTTTATTATTTTAATCGTGGGCTCGTCCAATCCTGACCCTTTTTATGCTTATTTATAGTATAGTTTTTCCGAAGTCAATTGAAGAACCTGTAATTTCAATGTATGTACCAGGCTCGGTCGCTAAGCAGCAACTCGACATTGAAATATTTGAAAAACTTGTTCCCATATTTATTTAGCTTGTGGGTAGGTACACATGTTCGCAAGTGACCCATTTTTAAATACAACGTCAAGAGCGCCAGCGAGACGCCGGCGCCGCCCGGACGCACCACAGGGTTCCCGGAAGACGACCCCGGCAGAGTGGCGCCAAGGACCAGGGACTTCTGCCAGCGACTACAGACGAGGAGGGACTCTCCAACGAACACTCTTCCCGTCAACACGTCTTTTTCACAAGCTTAGTTTTTCAATAAAAATAGTTTATTTGTACCGTTGAGAGAGCGTTTTATTTCTTGGTGTACAGCGAAAGCAACCCTCATATATGTCTGGTCGAACTAAACGTGCAGGTGGTAGAAATGTATACGACCAGTTGAAGGATGCGAGAGCGGCCAAAGTAAAATGAGCACAGTTGTATTGGGCTTCTGGGAAATAAATCACAGCATGCGACAAGTGGTTCATAAATTGCCCAGCAGTGCAGTGCTGCAGTGCGGAATTTGGTGTGAATCAGGCAATTTTAATTTATCATAGGCACCTTCTATCAATCACTCATATTTCAATTGCGAAGGGGGGAAATAATATTATCACAACATGGCATTTTGGAGACCTTTTGAAACGGAACAAAACAAAATTTACCACCAATATAATAAAATTATTTGAGGACATAAATAATTAAAATATGTTGTTGGTCAAATGAACATATAATAGAAATTTTCTACACATTATACACAAATTATTATAATTTTTTACCTTTAGCAGAGAATTTTTTAGGGACGTCTATGAAACTTATTCAATTTTATTACCAGACTTTTTTTTGCATATTCAACTGACTTCGGAAGGACTATATCTGTAAACACTTTTGGGATATGACCTAGATCATGGTATAATTTTGAACCTTAAGCGTTTTTCTTGACGCGTAGATGACCTTGTCTAATAACATCTCAACCAATAATTGATAACAATAACATTCAAGTTCTAAATGTTCTGGAATTACATCATCGGTATTCAACTTATAAAGCGAATTTCCAAAATTACGGTTGCTGAAACAGTTATAACCTTGCACGGGGACGCCCGTGATTGCAAATTTTGAAAATTTATATCTGGAAAGTACTCGGAGTGGCAAACCTATTAGTTCAAAAAACAGCCCTTATACTCTTATAGTTTTAGTGTAAATAAGGGTTAGCCTTAACTCCGAAAATAATGGGCGGATCATCAGGTTTTTTTTAAATACTCGTCTTTCCGAGTACTTTCAAACCATATTTTTAAATAAATAAAAAATTGAAAAAAAAATTAAATTATTGCAATTGTTTATAAGCGTGAAAATTGCGGCAATGTTTAAACAGTCACCACGGTTCACCTAATCGTCCGATTTGAATTTTTCAAAAATCATTTTAAAGCTTGACAGCTCTTCTTTCTGTGGTAAAATTTTCAAGTATTCAAAGGTTTTAGATTTTTAGGAATTTGATTTTGAAAATTTTTTAATTTAAAAAATATAAAAAATTTAAACAATTATTATGTAAAAACTATCAAACCGAATTGGATGAATTGTGGTGTGATGATTCTATGCACTAAGAAGTTTAATTGGGAAAAGTATGAAGATCCTAGGTATTATTCAAGTGTCTGAAAAAAATTGACAAATAAACCATCATATTTTGCAATTTTTAAATGATTGTTCCGATTTTTGCAATAACAATAATTATTTTTTCGAATTGCAACTAACTCTATCTTGATCAAAATTTAATTACAAAACTTTTTTCCTTTTCCATTTTTGTCTAAAATGAATAATTGCTAAGTTGTCGCCGAGAAATCCAAGAAAAAAATGAATTGTTTTGCTATTTTTTTATACTTTATTGCATTAAAAATTAAGCACACGTTTTTTTTTATTTGCATAGAAAAATTATCATTTCTGATGTTATTTAGAAGCCGTTAAAGCAAAAATCTCCGATCATATGCGTTTTACCCAACCCGATACAGATACCGCCTGGACTATAATTCTTCTTATTTATTTAGTCACAGAGGTTGCTAAGGTACACGGCGTGTATCCCACTTCTGATGTTAGAAACCATGGGGTTTTCACCACCAATTAAAACACATAATTTCAACAATCGGTTTATTCCCTCAAACGACAGAGTTGTCTCTTGTTTATTCGCTATGTCGGGACTCTGACTCCCGCGACTGACTCCCGTGCTCGCTGACCGCGCTCCATCGGCTGACCTCGACTGCGCGCGGCTCGCGCATTTCGAAAGGGGTTCTTGCTGACTCAGTAATAGCGATGTAGTGGATGACATCCCTCTTTAATTATTAGCATTTAACATATACAGGGTGTTCCACCTAAGTGGGATTCTTCTGTAACTCTGCCACTGTAAAATTTATAAAGAAATGATTTTTATAAAAGTTGCCTGGAATCATGTGGGCTATGTAGTCATTTTTTTAGAGGGTGTTCCATTTCGCGAGGGCGCTACATAACTTTGTTATTTTAAATGGAACACCCTGTATATTACTGCATTTTTGAATGCCTTGGTTAATATTAAGTTGAGTTTATTAATTGTACATGCTGTTTAAAACTTACTGTTTTCAAGATATTCAGTTGTTTTTGGAAAAAAACACGATTTCAGTTCTCTAAATGAGGCTAGATAGCATCTAAACCGTAAGAGGTAGAAACCTGCAGTTTTCACGGTTCGTTTTAGCATAAAACACTCTTATCTTGTCATCTGTGAGCAAAACGTGTACCTACCCTCAGAGTAATAAGTAAAGGGGAGGCCGCATTCCCTATTTCAGTACACAATGTAAACATGTAACCTCAACCTATTGTATGTTGATAAACAAATGATACATAAGTAAACACAATGGTCCCTGGTACAGTGGCGTACCGGAGTTTAGGTTTAAAATCTATCATATTATAAGGAAACCATAAAAATTACACTTTTTAATAGAATAAAATCAGAAGTGCTTGATTACTTAAGCTTTCATGTGTAATAAATAGACAATAAATAGGAAAAAGTTAATGGTTTCTTCAAAATCAATAATTAATATCTTAAAAACATTTCCAGAACAAAAGAGTGACTAAAGAAAACTCCTCGATTGAAACTATCATTATACTATAGCTATAGCAATGTCATTGCCTACCATTAGTTCTATTATTTCATAGTAGTTCTCGATTACTGGAAGAACTACATTTATTAAAATAAATAATTTAAATAAAACTACAAGAAAAGGAGCAAAAATATATTTCATTAAAATCTGCTGGAATATAAACAATGCAAACAAAACAAAACATATTTGTACTAAAAGTAACGGAAAATGAATTTACATTGAAAAATATTTAATCGTATTGGAAAATAAGCACGTTTCAAATGTACGCAACAAAAATAAGCTGAATTTTGAGCTCATAACATTGACAGATCGTCTCTTATGGAACAGGGACAACATGTGATTGAAGATGTTTTATAGCAACATCTATAAAATTTCCTTCACTGGCAATTTCTCGAAGGGGGAAACTTTGAGACGGCACAACCATTTCATCAACACTGTGCTAAAACGTATTACCTTCCAAATGTTGTATTAATAGGGACAGCTCCATGTGTGAGACATCGTTTTCCAGTTACTGTTACCTTAATATCTGTAGCACGGAAATGCTTCGACAGACATAATTATCCTTTGAAAAATCATATTCAGATATGGCGAAATTTTCTAGCCACACTGCTCGTATCGCAGGATCTTATGCTATTCTACAAATAAACACAGAGCTAGTGTCAATATCAAAATACAAACAATAAATTAACAAATAAAATACTTAGGACACCTTACACCCTTGTAAGAACGCCCATGGAAACAATGTCAAACTTACTTGTGAAAAGAAGTAGCACATATTTGGTTCTTTTCCTGTAATTGTCGGCATATTATACACCGCTTTGACATTTTTATTGAAATTAAATAGAAAAACACAGTTTAAAAAGACACATAACACTGAACTCGGCTAATATCTATTTCACAACAATAGACTGTAATAATGGCGCCCCCTTTAGAACCGTTTAATACCAGCAATGATGCCACTTACGGCGTTTGTATTGCTAGGAATTTCAATAATGTATTTTTTTTTCAGATATTCAAAATCTATAATTATAAAACAAGTTGCAAGAAAATAGTGTCGTAGTCTTATGCATATTACAATGTAACTAATTTGTAAGTCGAGGTCAAGAATGAGGTAGATCTTTGTACTATAATCAATTAAAATGATCGCTGTACCTGACTATAAAGATAAAAATGTAACATTGGCATCAATGTCAAGGACGTCACAAGTACCAATGTTTGTAAATACACATATGTCAACACTTCACTATCGAATGTAAATAAAGGCGTCCCCTTTATTTATTAGTCTGAGGACCTATCTGTCCTTATTCAGACTCGGAAAACTGAGACCTACATTTAATAATCTTGCGAGTTGAAAAACTTTTTTTTTAATGGAATTACCCATATTAAATGCCATGGTTAAATGCAAAATTAAATGCCCTTTCGACTGGTATAAGGTTGTCCATACTTATCTTTAACAGTTTTCCAGAAAATCAGGTTCTTTTCTAAAGTACGAAAAAGCAGCGTTTTGCTCACATGTGACTAGATAAATTGCTCACATGTGACAAGATAAATTAGAGTAAATTATGCCAAAACGAACTATGAAAACTGCAAGTTTCTAACTGTCAAGGAGAGAACGCATTAGAGGTCGCGGTTCCGTTACCGTCGCATCACGGACCGTGCTAGTCTCGATAATGTATGCAATATGCATTCGCACTAGACATTCCCGTGCTCGTCTCGCTCGCATCGTGTTCTCCTCCGATCTTTTCCAAAGAACCTCGGGAGACCGCGATGCGATCAAGACGAGCTTCCTCTTCCATAGAACTCATTTTCTTAACTACTAAAACAATACCGCAGCTATTTAAAGGAGAGCGCGAGCAGGAATGTGTGCGATTGCCAAATGCGACTGATTTTATGAAAGACAGCGATCAGCTCAGCCCAGAACGGTCCGCGACGCGACGCGACGGGACCGCGACCGCCTAATGCGTTTTCTCCTTTACGGTTTAGACGCTATCTAGCCTCATTTAGAGAGCTGAAATCGTGATTTTTTTCAAAAACAACTGATTATCTCGAAAACAGTAAGTTTTAAACACCATGTATATTCAATAAACTTTATCTAATATTAACCAAGAAATTCAAAAAAGCAATAATATACAGGGTGTTCCATTTAAAATAACAAAGTAAGTTAAGTAGCGCCCACGGAACACTCTGTAAAGCTAAAAATATTTTCTTTACATGGCCCACATGATTCCAGGCAACTTTTATTAAAACTATTTTTTTATAAGTTTGACAGAGAGTTACAGAAGAATCCCTCTTAGGTGGAACCCCCTGTTTATAGTATTGTACAGCTCGATTAAACACTTTTGTTTCCAGAAAATAACTATTGGTATCCACACGGGCGAAGTCGTAACTGGAGTGATAGGTCAAAGAATGCCTAGATTTTGTCTTTATGGAAATACAGTTAATTTAACTAGCCGTACCGAAACGACAGGTCAACAAGGTAAAATAAACATCACAAAAGATGTTTACACGTAAGTATACTTCTAGTAAGGTGACTAAAATTGTTCATTTGTATAATAAATTTCACTTATTACTTTTTCTAAAAATTTAAGTATAAACTACTATATCTGATTCCCCGAAAATACTGTGAGGTAGATACACTTTCGTTAATATCGCAAGACATTTTCTGTAGTAGTGCTATATTTTTTTTAATATTTGGATCTTGCTAATTACTTTATGGTCAGTTTTGACGGATTTCCCTATAAATTTTGAGATCATTTTTTATTTTTATTTATATTTTCAATTATTTAGTGTATTTCTTTTCGACGCAAAAGAATATTAACTGCATTACACAGGACCTTGAAGCAGTGATACTTTCAATATTTCGAAATTGTATGTAGGATATTGAACTTACCTTGTGCGCATACTGAACCTAATATAACATAATATATTCAAATACAATGCCACATTTTTTACCATACTCTGATGTGTAATTAAATTGAAAATAATAATTCATTATTAAAATATTCATAAAAAGAATATCAAAAAATAAATATAATATTTTATTTGAAATAAATATAAATTACACAAAATTTTATATACAGGGTGATTCAGAACTTATCCAAAAAAAAATTCTGGATGTACAGGGGACCCTTACAAATACAATTTTGTAAAGAAAAAATCAGAAAGGTCAGTTCGAAATTGATTTAAAAATACACTTCTGCACGGCACTGGAAACTGGTCCACTGTAAAACCTGACCTNAACTTTCGCAAGGAAAGAAATATGTAAATAGAATTTTATCGCACCTATTTTATATCGGCAAATTCAAATGCTTTTGCCTTTATTAATTATTAATAAAATTAATTTGTGTTTTTAAATAATAAAATCATTTGACATACCCGATGCTGCAACAGCAATTGTTCAAAATTTTATCCACTCACGTGTAAACACATTTGGGTCCGTCTTACTCACTTTCTACGAACTAACACAAATGATGTCTTGCTTCACCATAACACAAATACTTCACCATAATACAAATGTTGTCTTGCTTCACCATAAATTAAAACGATATCCATCAACTCTGAGTTGCTATACACGTAAGCCATTTTTGACACTAACTACTAAAAAACTGTAAATACCACAGATAACAGGTAAAAACTACCGCAACGACGGATTTCAGTATTAGGAGTCACATGGTTTTCCACGCGTATTGCGAATGACGCTAGAGACTACAGTTGTCCAGCTATGTAGTGCTTTAATGTGCTATAACTTCAATAATTTTTTTCTCAGAAACTATAAGGAATTTACAAAATTTTTTTTTACAATATTGACTCCATTTCTCATGCCGCATCTATTCCCAAATTTTTTTGGATAAGTTGTGAATCACCTTGTATTTTCTTTTATTGCTTCTATAAAAAAACATCTTATTCATTTGACTTAATAAATTTTACTTATATCCAATACCTTGATGCAGTCAGCTTTGCATATGCATTAATACTTAATGCAACATTGGTGTAGGAGTGTTATAACGTGCATGAAAATTTTGTGTTGTATCTAGGGTTGCCATACACATTACATACAATCAGCCGTTATTAAACAAATAAAGCATTTTCTGTTTCTAATTTTGAGTTTTTTTCAGTGTTTAATGAGTGTTTAACGCGAAATTATGAGAAAAGTAACTCAAATATTTGTTTCATCTTAATCATCATTGATTGATGTTTAAAGAGCAATAACCTGCTCCTTTAATTTTTTAAAAAACTAACGATTCCAGAAAGGAAAACGGTTCGATCGATCGATTTCATGCCTCATGGGCATACATTGAGCTAAAAAAAACTACAAACATTGACACCTTTCGCAATATTTGCAAAGTAGTCGTTGATTTTTCAAAACAGAACAGTAGTCATATTTTGCAGTTTTTCAAATTAATAGCTTAAATTTTTTTCTCAAACATACCAAAAGGACCTTGAAGAGGATTGATTCAAGTTTCCAAAACCCACCTTCTGTTCGCAGTACGATCATTAGTTCATAAGATATCGATGATCAATAAAAAGTTGACTTTTCACTCAATAGCCAGTATCAGAGAAAAAATCGTACAGAAAATAAAAAAAAAATCAAATTGAAGCTGAGGAGTCAGGTTAAATGGCCCTGGCTTTGATTAAGCTAGAAAAAAAATTGTTTGAACCCATGTGCAGTTTAAAAAAAAATTATAAAATTTTTGCCTTACATTTTGATTGCGCCGAGTGATGCTCAAAAAATTTTTCATCTCAAGATTTCAAAACTGAAATCTTCAAGCTTCAAGTTGCTTTTTTTTATTCACTAAGTTACAGCCTTTCAAAAATCACAAAAAAAAATTGGAAATTTTTCTTCCTGCTCCCTTAATTTTTTGACTGATTGTGAGTGTATTGGGGCATTCCACGTGGTGGTGGTAGCAAAGTGGTAGAAGTAATTCAATGGCGAGAAGATAAAAGTCACTGTCTAAGTCATTGGGTGAGTTACTACTAATTATTTTATGGCTGTATAATATTGCTGTAAGGCAATCGGCCTATGATCAACTTTTCGCCCATGGAAGTCGAATTCGAAAGGGTTGGACGCATTTTTGGGCTTTATGCCCATTGATACTTTTGATTAGCGTGTTAAGAACTACCGATTTGCCAAGTTTCAGAAAAATTGGCCGAAACCCATTTTCCATGAGGATTGAGCGTGGTCCTTCGACGACAAATCAACCCGATCCGGTGACCAATTAACTCGTTGCACGACAATATCTTTTGCATATCTAGATTTCTGATACTGAATAATAGTAACTTTATTTGACACAATTTTATTAGAAATATATTTTTGAATTTAATACTTTTAAATTATAGTAAAAAATATACCAGCTTATTAAATTTTTACTTATTGTCTTTATAGCTGTGTATTTATTATTTACCAGTAGATATACCTACTAACAAATTTGCAGTTTGTAGAAGATAATAATAAAAATAAAAACAAATAAATAATTTTTGTAAGAAGCACATAAGCAATTTAAATTTATCGCCAGATTTAATTTTTATATCAACAAGAGATGGCGGAATATACCTAGTCCGTCGGTGATACATGGCACTTAGCATCCTATATTATTGGTTGTTCGAGGTGCAGTACCATTTGTGATTGACCTTGACCTTTTTCTTTGTACATCCTCCTCTCATAACGTTCTATTTTAGGCACTACTTGTGTAATTATTATTGCAATTTATTTTAATATTTTGTTGTATGGGAGAAATATGGCACCTTTCATAATTAACTTTTTTACGGTCAATACATCATAAGTGAACTGTAGTGAATTTTACAAGCTGTGTTTTATAGGCTGTGAAAATGTGTTATAATTATATTATATTCATATTTATTTTCTGTTCCAGAATTTTATGTGATAGATACAATTATGACGAACAGTTTTATTTTGAATATAGAGGTCCAATAATCATGAAAGGAAAATCAGAACCTATGGATATATATATTTTGTCAAGATCTTCATTAGAACAAACGAATAAATAATGAAATTAATTGAATTATATTTATAAAACATTTATAAGGTTTTTGTCGTTCATTATATTTTCTAGCTTTAGATTAAAGGTTTGTTAAATAAGCAGTAGTTATATGTATAGATGTACTTAAATAATATAAGTAATACATAATATATGGGAGTATCCATTATAAAACTTGTTTATTTGTCGCATTTTTTGAGTAATTTTTCTTTATTTTATTTAATTAATTTTAATTCTCAAATTAAATCGACACTTCGAAGAAAGGTCGTGTTAATAGAGGTGCATTCGAGCGTGCCTTGATTATAAATACTATATCTCGTATCTCGAGTGATCACTCGATTATTCGAAGTACTCGATTACCGATAACTCGATTATCAAAATGGTCGATTATGCCCATCACTATCAGTAACCTTGCGGTCATTTCATAAATTCTCTATTGTTTATTGTAAGCATTGCATAAAACCTATAAATTATTGTTTCACACCAGAAATTATCAAAAGTAATGTATTACGTTTTTCTAATATTTTTGTCGTATTCCCAGAGCCAGTTTACAGGGTGTTTCAGTCATAATGTCATTAATTTTAAGAGCAGATAGAGAAAAATGAGTATAATACGACGGCGTGATTAAAAAAAATATTAAATGCATATTTAAGCAGAAAAAAAATATTTTCAAATCATTATTTAACCCCCTTTTCAGGCTGTTACTGACCGGCTGACGTCAGTCGCTTATTCAGAATTTGCGCACGGCTACGATATGAACAACGCGCCCTAGATGCAACGTTGCCATATTTATACAGGGTGATTCAGTCATAATGTCATTAATTTTAACCACGTATTCGGAAGGCCTAATAAAGACAGAAAATCGGAAAAAAATTTTTACTCGACTTTTAAAAATGAAGGAAATCAACCCATAACTTCCGCTACGAGGGCGGCCCTGGCAGATACCTGGATGCTCGGAAAACTTTGTAACGTAATGTCACGAATAGTTGTCGGCTGAAGCGAACAGCGTTGCCAAGTTCACATCATAATGTGTGGTTCACATTTACTGTTAAACGTATTCAAGTAAATAAAGGAGCTTGCTGCATTTTATTATAAATAATTTTAACAATTGTATTAACTTAGTGCAGAATGTTTTAACAAGCCTGCCTTCTCGAAGTCAACTTTCGTTAAAAGAAAATAAATAAAGTAGAGGTAGTTACCTGTTTGTAGGCACACCGTATTTTATCAAATAAAAAAAGTCGGCACACTGCTAAATACCCAAATATACTTTCTCAAAAACAAGTAGGTTACACCAAAGTTTATATTTACACTAAAGTTTACATTTATTATGTAAACTTTGGTTATATATGCAACTGCATATTGAATAATAAATTGAAATACTAAAACTGTGTATTATTTAACATAATAAATTATAAAACGTTAAAATGTTAATAATAAAGGGTGTTCCAACCAAAACGTACGATGTTAATTGTAAATAAAACAAAAAGTTTTCATAGAATTATCTTAATATTTTTTATTATGATAGAAGGATCTATGACAATTATGTGTGAAACAAAATATCGGCCAAATGCTCGCCACGGCTTCGGTGGCATACCTCTATCCGATGGTCCATATTTTCAATGACTCTGAGACATAATTGAGGTTCAATGTCGTTAACGTGCCGAATTATCTCATAATTTAGCTCTTGAATTGATCTTGGCTTATTGACGTACACTTTTTCTTTTAAATATCCCCAAAGAAAGAAGTCCAACGGTGTCAAATCACATGATCGTGGCGGCCAATTAACATTGCCACGACGGCGACGTGAGATAACACGGCTATTGAATTTCTCGCGAAAAAGAGCCATTGTTTCGTTGGCTGTGTGGCAAGTGGCACCATCCTGTTGGAACCACATATCGTCCAGGTCCATATCCTCAACTTCTGGCCACAAGAAGTCCGTTATCATCTCGCGATAGCGAACACCATTCACGGTAACTGCTTGGCCGACCTCATTTTCGAAGAAGTACGGACCGATGACGCCGCCAGCCCATAAACCGCACCAAACAGTCACTCTTTGTGGATGCATCGGCTTTTCAACAATCACTTGTGGATTCTTATTTGCCCAGATGCGGCAATTCTGCTTGTTAACGAATCCACTGAGGTGAAAGTGTGCCTCGTCGCTGAAGATAATTTTCTTTGTAAAGTCACCATTCACTTCTGTCTGTTCAACCAGCCATTCGGCGTATTGACGACGCTTGAAATGGTCAGTAGGCTTCAGCTCTTGAGTCAACTGAACCTTGTAAGCGTGTAAATTCAAATCTATTCAAAATTCGCATCAGTGATGTTCGTGAGATGTTCAATTGTTGGGCACGACGACGAGTCGAGGTTGACGACTCCTCTGCCACACTATCGCGAACAACAGCAATGTTTTTCGCAGAACGAACTGGGCGAGCATGCACAGGTGTTTTTACATTTCCTACAGACCCGGTTTGCTGAAATTTGCGCACAATTCTCCCGATTGAGGACACATTTAGTCGATTTTTTATTTGAACGCTCATTTTCGTAAAAGGCTTCAAAAATCTTAACGCGCTGCTCAATTGTGTACCTCTCCATGGTTGAATTTGTCAAACACTGAAACTAAGAAATGTCAAATTAGGTTGGGCAAAAAATTTTGACGTTAAGGTGTCACTCACAATTAACATCGTGCATTATGGTTGGACCACCCTTTATTAAAAATGATAAATTGTAATAACCGTACATTGGAAAAGAATCATCCCTATTCATTACATTTTCCTTTGATATAAGACCGTTAACTTTTTGCCCTACTTTGCATGGAATGCGATCCTACTACAGTTCGTATTAGTCTACGAGCCAGATAGGGTTCCGTTTACTAGCTATAAAAATAAAAACTTTTTACAGCCATTTAAACATTTAATTGGTTGATAACAATTAAACTCACCACTTTCAGGCTTTGCGACCAAGTTTTTTGGATTCAGGAACTCAAAATACTACGAATAAGTTGTTTGCAGCCGTGGCACTCTGTTGGCCACGGCACCCTATCTGGCTCCTAGACTATGCACACGTACACGTGCAAATTAAAAGTGGGTCAAATAAAAAGGTTATTGACCCTAGATACAGGTTAGCCTAGGTCGGAAACACGTACCGAGTTGTTTATTTGTCTCCGTCCGATTGTTTTTCATCTTCTATTACTTACAGTCAATATTTAAATACTACATACATTTCACCCTATCTTTATAATTTATCTAGTGAGTGTTGTTTTTTTATGTTATTATTTCTGTAATGAAATTGAAATGGTTGTGAAATGAAATTTAAATTACTTGAACTCTTGGAGTTTTGTAACTTCAATATTAAATCTTATTTAAAGTGAAACAGAGCTAATTTCTTTGCAGCCATAATAGTCACATTTCGCCCACCTTTCCAATTTTCCGACAATGCGGCCAATCTCGCCCGGATCTGCCACTAACGCCACAGCAGTGGCGACTCGTCAGGTGACGCAAGTGACACACCACTTTACCTAAAATTTCCGTTTAGTTGTGCGATTTAAAATTATTTTTAATTTTATATAAATTTTATAATTTAGATATAAATCTATAATGGAAATGTATTGTGTTTGTTCAATACGCAGAAATAAACAGAATAGTTGCGCGGTGAACGCCTTCTAGAAGAACATTGCCTTCTTTGAGGGCGAACAACAACCTCGGACCATACAACATATAGTATACGCAAGTGACGCAGATTGAAATCAGTCTGTATTCTGCTTCTCTTTATAGCGTTGTTTACGTTGTTGTCATGGCAAAAAGGCGGCCAATACAGGATTAAACTACGACGTGGGGGAACGAGTGACGCAGAAATTGAAGCAGCATCGCCCATCGCCTGCCTTTAACAGTTTATACGATACGCGTCGCCCAGTGCACGATTTTAACGGTTCTTTGTTAATATTTGTTTTGTATATTAATTGTAGAAATGTTTCCTCCGTATGATCCAGTATGTATTTTATTGGAAACGCCATTTTTCAGATGGAAAATTGAGGGCAATAAGGATTTTTTAAATTGCCAGAGATACCTGTGCCTTATTCTCTCGATATAGCAAAAGTCAAAAGACAACGTCTACGTTCGAAAGTTTCGGAATGAATGGTATTCGAAGTATAAGTGGTTGCGTGAACTGTTCATTTAAAAAAACTTTTCTGACCTAATTATTGGTTTTGCATTTTGCTATCAGAGCAGCTTTCAGTGTTCTATGGAATCTTTCTACTAGTCCATTACTTTGCGGATGGTAAGTCCTCAAAGGTTATTTTTTAAAACATTTATAGCATTTTGGATATACCTCCACAACTCAGTGCAGTATTAGATGTGGAATCATGCACTGTTGTTTTCAGAATGCCCCAAAGATAATAGTCGCAAGGTGTTAAGTCTGGTGAACGTACAGGCCAGTTAACAGGAACATTATCTTCTCTACCGGTCCATCGACCAGGAAATCTTTGGTTCAGATACTGCCGGACATTTACAGTGAAATGTGGTGGAGGTCCATCATGCATAAACCACTTGTTAGCTCTGAGTAATAACGACACATCTTCCATAACTCGGGTTTTGCAAAAATTCTAAATTAAGATTCCCTATTCAGTCTATTGGGTAGAATAACAGGGCCAATAATAATGCTATCCCAAACAAGATCAAATTGAAATTATAGTCAACCTACAAAATCAGAGCCTACAAGCACTTTGTTAAGTATTGTAAAATGGGTGGCAAGATAATGTAGACATTTAAAAAATATTTTTTGTACCCAAACCGCTCATTTAATAAAAAATCTATAAGAGGTCCAAAAACTTCCAAATAGTATTACCTATCAGATAAAAAATAGTTGTCATTATTGGCCAAAAGAGGAAAAAGTATTGAACGGATATTATCACTGATTTCAATTTTTTAGGAGTTATGGATTTTAAAAAACACTGTATAACACCAAAATGTGTAGATTGGAAGCAACAGTCCACACTCCAAAAATAATCAAAATCGA